TCTTTTAATTTATTTTTGCTATAAATAAAAAAATGTGCATTTTTTTAATAAACCAAGGTTCAAAACAGTATTTTTTTTTTTATTTCCTTTCCTTTCCTCCCTTGGAATTTCAATAAATAATTCTGGTGCATAGTATTAGTCATAATATTATTATTATTAATATATAGCAGCCAACAGATTGCAGTTCATATATTATTATTATTATTACTCTATTGCCTTTCAAATGGTCTTCCGAGTTGTTTATTTTCCTTCCCCCCCCAATATTATTATTATTTTGTATTATTTCAACAGCATAGATAAATTTTTAAAATCTCTATAAAAACAAAACAGCATTATTTTTAACCAAGGTTTGGGCAAACTTGGGTCCTCTTAGGTGTTTTGGACTACAATTCCCACAATTCAAGGCGCAATTGCAAACAGTACCAACAAAGAGAAAAAATGGGACAAGTGCAAAGAAGCCAGAATGGATATCCAAAGAATTTCTAACTGACTCAAAAAGAGACATGCACAAGAAGTGGAAAAAGGGAGAAATCACCAAAGAAGAATTCAAACAAATAGCCAACTCCTGTAGGGAAAAGGTCCGGCGAGAGAAAGGAAGGAATTGTGGGAGTTGTAGTCCAAAACACCTAAAAAGGCCCAAGTTTGCCCAGGCCTCAGTTAACCCAAACGATTACTGTATATAGTGCATTCGGCTTTGTCAACATCAGTTAAAATTAACTCTTTATATGATTTGCATGCTATTACATACAAACTTTCATTAAGACTTGTGTTCTGTATATAATTTTTTTTCAAGTTTTCTTTTTCTTTGAAAGTCACCAAGCAAAATGAAGGCTCAAAAGGGGAGGAAAGAGAGAGAGAGAGAGAAGAAGGGCAAGTCAGACATTATTATTGATATATTATATATATATGTACAAGTAGACATAATAATAAATTATTCTGGCTCAGTTCCCCGTTTTGTCTTTTGTTAGAAAATAACAACAAACACAAACAGGCACAAAAAAAAAGATTAAAAGTAAACTCATCCCATGGTCTGAAGGTCCTTCTTGGATCCAGAGAAAAGGAAGGAAGGATGAAAAAAAGGATCACATTGCAGAAAATTGGGCTCCTTTTTTGGATCTTTCAATTAAGACTCAGCAAAAAAATAAAAAGAGATGTGCTCTGTACCAGAAGAAGAAGAAAAATAGGGAAAGAGATGAGGGGAAAAGAAGGATGCAAAGGAGGAAATCGTGTGTTTCCTTCTATTTTCAAGGAGGAAGGAAGGAAGGGAGAAAGTAAAAAGGAAGGAAGTGAAAAAGAAAAGAAGGAAGAGAGAAAGAAAGAGAGAAAGAAATGAAGAAAAGGAGAAAAGTAGAAAGGAAAGGAAAAGAAAGAAAAAAGGAAGAGGAAGGAAGAAGAAGGAAGAGAAAGAGAGAAGGAGAAGGAAAAGGAAGGAAAGGAAAAGGAAGGAAGGAAGGAAGGAAAGAAGGAAGGAAGGAAGGGAAGGGAGGGAAGGAAGGGGAGGAGGGAGGGAGGAGGAAGGAGGAAGGGAGGGAGGGAGGGAGAAAAGAAGGAAGGAAGGAGAAAAGAAGAAGAAAGAAAAGAGAAAGAAGGAAGGAAGAAGGAGAAAAGAAGGAAAAGAAGGAAAGGGGAAGGAAGGAAGGAAGGAAGGAGAAGGAAGGAAAGGAAGGAAGGAGGAAGGAAGGAAGGAAGGAAGGAAGGAAGGAGGAGAAGGAAGGGAGAGAATGAAAGGAAGGAAGGACGGGGAAAATGGGAAGGAAGGAAGGATGAAAGGAAGAAGAAGAGCAATCAGAAACAGAATGATAGAAATGGAAGGCATGCAAACCGAAGAAAGTGAAAGTTATAACGCAAAACTTAGGAAGTGAGAAAGAAAGGAAGGAAAGCAAGGAGAAATAGCTGTTTTTAAGAATAATAAAGAAAAAGAATTAGAAAATAATAAATTATATTAATAAGACAGAAAATAACGACATAAGCTTGAAAAAAGGAAGGAAAGAAGGGAGAAAAAAAGGAAGCAAGGGGGAGAATGAACGAGAGAAAGAAAGGAAGGAAGAGAAAGAAAGGAAGGATGGATGGAAGGATGAATCCCAGACATGTCCGGCATGCGGGAATGGAAAGAGGAGGAGAAAAAAAAGTGTTGTTGTTTTTTTAAAGGGGGTCCCAAGCAAAAATCCCTTCTGGAAAGAAAGGTCTCTGCGTCGTCCGGCAAGATGCGCATCCTGGCGCACGTGGGAATCCAAAGGCAGGTCGACACACACGCGTGTCCAGGCGGCTTGGCGTCCTTTGAGGAAAAGCAATGGAGGTTTTCCCCCCTCAAAAGTCACCTTTCGGGTCCAGATCTGGGGGGCAAATGGAGGGTCCGGCAAGATGCGCATCCTGGCGCACGTGGGAATCCGAAGTCGGGTAGAGAGACACGCGTGTTCAGGCGGCTTGGCGTCCTTGGGGGGGGGGGGGGAATAATGGAGGTTTTCCCTCTCAAAAGTCCCCTTTCGGTTGCAGATGTGGGGGGCAAAGGGAAGGCGAAAAGAGCAGCCCCCCATGAAAGGGGAAAAGGAAGGGGAGCCAGCTGTGTGTCCAAAAGTCTGGTTTCTTCTTCTGTCCATAGAAAAGGTACGAAGGCGGGCGCCCCACTTGGAGGAAGCCCTTGGGGGGTGACAGTGGGAAGAGAGGCAGTCCTGGGGGAGCGGAGGGGGGGGTCCCCTTTTCATCTTATTTACACCAGAGAAAGAGATAAAAATCAGTCCAAAGGGAGTCCGAGGTTGGCCTCTTTTTTGGAGAGACAGGGGTCCTTTTTCCTTCTCTACAGGAGGGAGAAAAGACACCAAAAGGACCTTCTTTTTGGAGGAGCAACGGGGGAGGGGGGGTTAGGGATGGGAGGGGGCCCTTAGCGTTATTTGCAGGCAGCCCCCCCCCCCCAAAAAACCCAGTCTCCTCTCCCCTTCCTCTTATTTCCAAGAGAATAAAGTCAGTCAAAAGGGAGGTCGGGCTTTTTTCCCTTTTTGGAGAGGCGCAATGGGGTTTTTGGAGAGGTGGGGGAGTCCTTTTGGGAAAACCTTTCTTTGCGCAAAGCCTCCCCCTCCTTCTTCACCTTTTTGGCATCCCTGTTCCCTTTGTTTCAAGGAGGGCAAGAGGCAAAAGTCAGTCACAAGGGAGGTCTGAGTTTCCCCCCTTTTTTTTGGAGAGGTAGAAAAGGGAGAAGCAACCTTTGCGCACAGTTCGGTTCCTCTTCTTCCTCCTCCCGCGACTCTCTTTCTGAGCCCTCCTTCATCCTGGGAAGGGCGGCAAAACCTCCCCAAGCTCTCAAGAGAAGCCAGACCCGAAAGTGGAGGCCTGGCTTTACTTTTGGGGTGAAGTCCTTTGGGAGAGATGGAGGTTTCCTTTTGGAGAGGCTGCCTTTGAGCACAGTCCCGTCGGCTCACCCGCCTCTCTTTGCTCCCCTCTTTCCCCCTCGGGTTCTGGTTCACAGGAGAAATTGGAGAGCGCGTCGGGTTCTCCCCAAACTGGAGACAAAATGTCCAAAAAAGGGAGCTCATGTTTTCCTTGTTTGGAGAGGTGAAAAGGGGATCCTTTTGGAGCGGCTTCCTTCTTCCTTTCCCTCTTTGTCACCCGTTTATTTAGAGGAGAGACTCAAAATAAATAAGTCCAAACGGGAGCTCTAATTTTTGGAGGCGCAGAGAGAGAAAGACGGGGTCCTTTTGGAGAGGCTTCCATTGCGCACAGTCTCGTCCTTTTTGCGCCTTCTGTAAGCTCCCCAAGTTCTCCAAAAAGTGACCCAAAGTGATGGTCTGGACGTGCCTTATTTTGAAGAGGCGCAGAGAGAGAGAGAGAAAGAGAGGGTCCTTTTGGAGAGGCTTCCTTGGCGCACAGTCACCTCCTTTTTGTGTCCTTCTGCAAGCTTCAGGTTTTCCAAAAAGTGAGCCAAAGTGTCTCTCTTTGGAGAGGGGCCGAGAGGCGCACAATTCCTCCTCCTTTCCCCCCTTTTGGCTAATCTGTAAACTCCCCAAATTCTCCAAAAAGTGACCCAACTTGGTGGCCTGAATGTGCCTTAATTTTGGAGAGGTGCAGAGAGAAAGAGGATTCTTTTGGAGAGGTTTCCTTTGCGCACAGTCTCGTCCTTTTCGCTCCTTTCGGTAAGCTCCCCAAGTTCTCCATAAAGTGACCCCAAGTGTCTCTCTTTGGCACACGTTTCCTCTTCCTTTTCCCCGCTTTGGGCTAATCTGTAAGCTCCCCAAGTTCTCCAAAATATGCCCCAAAGTGGGCCGAATTTTTTTTTGAGAGATGCAGAAAGATAAAGTCCCTTTTGGAGAGGCTTCTTTTGCGCACAGTCCCGTCCTTTTGGCTCTCCAAGTTCTCCAAAAAGTGCCCCAAAATGAAAGCCAGCTAGGTCTTATTTTTGGAGAGTGTGTCCTTTTGGAGAGGCTTCCTTGACGCACAGTCTCGTTCTTTTTGCTCATTTCTGTAAGCTCCCCAAGTTCTCCAAAATGTGCCCCAAAGTGGGCAGAATTTTTTTGAGACAGATGGAGAAATAGGGTCTTTTCTGGGGAGGTTTCCTTTGCGCACAGTCCCGTTTTTTGGCTCCCCAAGTTCTCCAAAAAGTGCCTAATGTTTTTAGAGATGCAGAAAAATGGTCCTTTTTGGAGAGGCTTTCTTTGGGCAATCTCGTTCTTTTTGCTCATTTCTTTAAGCTCCCCAAGTTCTCCAAAAAGTGCCCCAAAGTGGGCCGAATTTTTGTGAGAGAGATGCAGAAAGAGGGTCCTTTTTGGGGAGCTTTCCTTTGCGCACAGTCTCATTCTTTTTGCTCCTTTCTGTAAGCTCCCTATGTCCTCCAAAAAGTGCCCCAAAGTGTGCCTAATGTTTTTGAGAGATGCAGAAAGAGAAAGTCCCTTTTGGAAAGGCTTCCTCTGCGCACAGTCCCGTCCTTTTGGCTCTCCAAGTTCTCCAAAGTGTGCCCCAAAGTGGGCCGATTTTTTTTTCTTTTTTGAAAGATGCAGAAAGAGGAAGTCTTTTCGGAGAAGCTTCCTTTGCGCATAATCTCGTCCTTTTGGCTCCCCAAAGTTCTCCAAAAAGTGCCCCAAAGTGGACTGAATTTTTTGAGAGATGCAGAAAGAGGAAGTCCCTTTTGGAGAGCTTTCCTTGGCGCACAGTCTCATCCTTTTTGCTCCTTTCTGTAAACTCTCCAAGTCCTCCAAAAAGTGCCCCAAAGTGTGCCTAATGTTTTTGAGAGATGCAGAAAGAGAAAGTCCCTTTTGGAGAGGCTTCCTTTGCGCACAGTCTCATCCTTTTTGCTCCCCAAAGTTCTCCAAAAAGTGGAGGCCAGGCTGGGCCTTATTTTTGGAGAGATGCACAGAGAGCGAGTGTCCTTTTGGCGCGGGATTCCCCCCGTCACACCTTGAAGCACCCTTGTGTCCTCACAGGAAGAAGTCTGTTGCGGCGGAGGGCGCTTTGTTGTTGCTGTTGCTGTTGTTGTTGGCGGATTCCCGGGCTGGCCCGTAGGCGCGCGCGTTGTTGTTGGCGCTGCTGTTGTTGTTGTTGTTGGCGAGGGCGAGCTTCTCGTACTTGTCCTTGTAGAGGTCCCTCTCCTTGGCGAGGCGGGCCAGCTCGGCCTTGAGGGCCTCGACCTGTCCCTGGAGCTGGCCCTTCTCGGCCTCGAGGATGTGGCGCTGCTGGACGCGCTTGTAGCGGCAGGACTGGGCGTAGCCGCGGTTCTTGAGCGTGCGGCGCTTCTGCTTGAGGCGGATCACCTCCTCCTTGCTGAAGCCCCGCAGCTGCCGGTTCAGCTCCCGCACCGACATGGAGACCAGCTGGTCGTCCGAGAAGCGCTCCTCCAGCCGCAGCGCGTGGTGAGGGTGGTGGTGGTGGTGAGGGTGGTGCCCGTGGTGGTGGTGGTGCCCTCCCGCTGGGTGGTGGTGGTGGTGGTGGCCCCCATTGCTGTGGTGCTGGTGCCCCGCCGAAGGGGCCATCTCCTCCCCAGGGAAGGGTTGTCCTCCTCGGAAGCCCTCATAGCTCTGGTGGTGGTGGTGGTGATGGTGGTGAGGGGCCCCGATGAGCGCCTCCACGGCGTCCTCGGGGGTCAGGTTCAGCGCCTCTGGGTTGAGGTGTGGGGGGTACCCGGACATCCAGTAGAGCTCCTCCAGTTGAGCCTTGCTTTGGCCCCCGTTGCCTTGACCTCCTCCTCCTGCGCCGTGTCCACCTTGTTGGAGGGGTCCTCCTGGTCCAGCTTGGCCTCCATGGGGCCCTCCTGCGTTGGCCCCCGCTCCTCCTCCTCCCCCAGCTCCTCCTCCTCCGGGGCTGGGGGCGCAGAAGGAGGGCGAGGAGGGCACGGAGGAGCAGGGGGTGCTGAGGGGCGTGGAGGAGAGGGAGCCGGCCGGGGGGAGGCGGTGGCAGAAGCGCTCGGCCTCCGCCGGCTCCTTCTTCACCTCGAACTTCATCAGGTCGAAGTCGTTGACGTACTCGATGGCCAAGGGGCTGGTGGGGAGGTGGTCGGCCGGGGCGCCCCCCACGCCCACCACGCCCAGGGACAGCTCCGAGGCCATCCTCTCAGGGGCGCGCGCGCATCCGGAGCCACCCCCGGCGCCCGCTCTTCCTCTCTGCCTTCCTTCTTCTGAGAGGAAAAGGCAGACCGGAGCCACCCCAGGCGCCCTCTGTCCCTCTCTCTTCCTTCCTTCTTCCGAGAGGGAAAGTCAGACCGGAGCCACCCCAGGCACCCACTCTCTTCCTTCTTCTGAGAGGAAAAGGCAGACCGGAGCCACCCCAGGCGCCCGCTCTCCCTCTCTTCCTTCCTTCTTCTGAAAAAGTCAGACTGGAGTCACCCCAGGGGCCCGACCTCCCTCTCTTCCTTCCTTCTTCCGAGAGAGAAAGTCAGACCGGAGCCACCCCAGGGGCCCTCTCTCTTCCTTCCTTCCTTCCTTCGGGAGAGAAAGACGGACAGGAGTCAATCAAGGGGCCCGCTCTCCTTCTCTCTTCTTTCCTTCCTTCTTCCAAGAGAGAAAGACAGACCGGAGCCACCCCAGGGGCCCGCTCTCCCTCTCTCTCCCTTCCTTCTTCCGAGAGAGAAAGTCAGACCGGAGCCACCCCAGGCGCCCTCTTCCTTCCTTCCGGAGAGAAAGATGGACAGGAGTCAATCCAGGTGCCCGCTCTCTCTCTTCCTTCTTCCGAGAGAGAAAGTCAGACCGGAGCCACCCCAGGGGCCCACTCTCCTTCTCTTCTTTCCTTCTTCCGAGAGAGAGAGAGACAGTTAGACCGGAGCCAACCCAGGGACCTGCTCTCTTCCTTCCTTCGGGAGAGAAAGACGGACAGGAGTCAATCCAGGCGCCCTCTCTCCCTCTCTCTTCTTTCCTTCCTTCTTCCAAGAGAGAAAGTCAGACTGGAGCCACCCCAGGCGCCCTCTCTCTTCCTTCCTTCCTTCGGGAGAGAAAGACGGACAGGAGTCAATCCAGGGGCCCGCTCTTCCTCTCTCTGTCTTCCTTCCTCCGAGAGAGACAGCCTCCCTCTCTTCTTTCCTTCCTTCTTCCAAGAGAGAAAGTCAGACCGGAGCCACCCCAGAGGCGGCTCACTTTCTTCCTTCCTTCTGAGAGAGAAATACAGACTGGAGTCAACCCAGGCGCCCTCTCTCCCTCTCTCTTCCTTCCTTCTTCCAAGAGAGAAAGACCGGAGCCACCCCAGGGGCCCGCTCTCCCTCACTCTTTCCCCCTTTCCTTCCTCCGAGAGAGAAAGACAGACGGGGAAAGGGGTTCGGTCCTTCTAAGGGGCCTCCTTCAGGGAAAGGGGGAAAGAAGGGGGTCCCAAAGAGGGGAAGAGGAAGAGGAGGGAGGACCACCTTCAGAGAAAAGCGCGCTCTCCTTTGGGGAGGAAAAAGGGAACCCAACACAGGAGGAAGAGGAGAAGAAACACCTTGGGAGCCAGGCACTGGATTTGGGCTTCTTCTTCCAACTAAACGCTCTTTGGGAAAGAGGAGGAGGAAGAGGACCACCTTCAGAGCAAAGCCCTCTCTCCTTTGAGGGGAAAAAAGGAGTCCAACAAAGAAGGAGAAGGAGGAGAAGAAACCTCGGAGAGCAAAGCCCTGGAGTCTGGTCCTTCTTCCAACTCCGCTCTCCTTGGGAAAGGAGGAGGAGGAGGAATACCTTGGGTGCCAAGCACTGGAGTTGAGTCCTTCCTGCAGCTCTCTTTAGGAAACAAGAGGTCTAAAAGGGAAAGTGGGAAAGAGGAGAAGGAGGTGGGCCTTCAAGGAAAAGCACCCTCTCCTTGGGGGGGGGGGGGGGGTCCAAAAGGGAAGGAGAAAGAGCCAAGAACTGGAGTTGAGTCTTTCCTGTGGCTCTCTTTAGGAAATAGGAGGTCTAAAAGGGAAAGTGGGAAAGAGGAGAAGGAGGAGGGTCTGCAGAGCAAAACACTCTCTCCTTTGGGGATGGAAAAGTCCAAAAGGGAAGGAGAGAGTGCAAAGCACTGGAGTGGAGTCCTTCCTTTAGGAAACAGGTCTAAAAGGGAAAGTGGGAAAGAGGAGAAGGAGGAGGACCTTCTCAGCTAAGCGCTCTCTCCTTTGGGGGGAAAAGGAGTCCAAAAGAGAAGCAGAAAGAGGAGAGCAATGCACTGGAGTTGAGTCTTTGCGACTAAGCTCTCCCTGGGAAAGAATGGGTCCAAAAGGGAAAGGAAGAAGCGGAGGAGGAATACCTTGGGAGACAAGCACTGGAGTTGAGTCCTTCTTCCAACTAAGCTCTCTTTAGGAAAGAGGAGGTCTAAAAGGGAAAGTGAGGAGGAGGAGGAGGAGGAGGAATACCTTGGGAGACAAGCTCTGGGGTTGAGTCCTTCTTCCGACTAAGCTCTCTTTAGGAAATAGGTTTAAAAGGGAAAGAGGAGAAGGAGGAGAGCCTTCAGAGCAAAGCACTGAGGCCAAGCACTCTCTCTCTTTCTCTCTCTCTCCTTTGGGGAAAAAAAGGAGTCCAAAAAGGAAGAAGGAGGAGAGCCTTCAGAGCAAAGCTGAGGCCAAGCCCTCTCTCTCTCACCTTTGGGGGAAAAGAGTCCAAAAAGGAAGGAGAAGGAAGGAGATACACCTTAAGAGCAAAGCTCTGGAGTCTGCTCCTTCTTCCGACTAAGCTCTCCTTGGGAAAGTGAGGAAGCGGAGGAGGAATACCTTGGGAGACAAGCACTGGAGTTGAGTCCTTCTTCCAATTAAGCTCTCTTTAGGAAAGAGGATGTCTAAAAGGGAAAGTGAGGAAAAGGAGGAGGAGGAATACCCTGGGAGCCAAACTCTGGGATTGAGTCCTTCTTCCAGCTAAGCTTTCTTTAGGAAATAGGTTTAGAAGGGAAAGAGGAGAAGGAGGAGAAGATCATTCAGAGCAAAGCACTGAGGCCAAGCCCCCCCTCTCACTCTCTCCTTTGGGTGGGAAAGTGAGAAAGAGGAGGAGGAGGAAAGTTGGGAGCCAAACTCTGGGATTGAGTCCTTCTTCCAACTAAACTTTCTTTAGGAAATAGGTTTAGAAGGGAAAGTGAGAAAGAGGAGAAGGAGCTGAAGAGCCTTCAGAGCAAAGCACTCTCTCTCTCCCCTTTGGAGGGAAAAAGGGGGGTCCAAAAGAGAAGGAGGAGAAGGAGGAACCCCTTGGGTGCCAAGCACCGGAGTCTGGTCCTTCTTCTGAGTAACTTAAGCTCTCCTTTGGAAAGAGAGAGTGCAAAAGGGAAAGAGGAGAAGGAGGGCTTTCGGAGACAAGCTCTGTCTCTTCCTTTGGGGGAAAAAGGGGGGATCTAAAGGAGAGGGAAAGGAAGGGAGAAGTGTTTCTCCTCTTGAGTAATGGGAAGAAGAGGAAGAGCAAAGGGATCTCTCTCTTTGGGGAAGGAAAAAGGAAGAGGAGAAGGAGGAACACCTTGGGTGCCAAGCACCGGAGTCTGGTCCTTCTTCTGAGTAACTTAAGCTCTCCTTGGGAAAGAGAGAGTCCAAAAGAGAAAGAGGAGAAGGAGGGCTTTCGGAGACAAGCTCTGTCTCTTCCTTTGGGGAAAAAAGGGGGGATCTAAAGGAGAGGGAAAGGAAGGGAGAAGGAAATGCCTCACTGCCTGGGTGCCAAGGTGTTTCTCCTCTTGAGTAATGGGAGGAAGAGGAAGAGCAAAGGGATCTCTCTCTTTGGGAAAGGAAAAAGGAAGAGGAGGAGGATCACCTTGGGGGAAAAAGAGGGAGAAAGAAAGAGGAAAGTGGAAGGAAAAGGGGAAGAAGGGACTCTCCTTCCTGGCCTTGGACTGCTCAAGAAGAGGGACACTCAAACAGGGAGGTAAACAACACTGTCAGGAGGTTAAATACCTATTATTAATTATTTATTATTATTAATATTATTATTGTTAGAGCACTTTCCCACGACTCTTCTTTTGGAAAGAGAGGGAGAAGGAGCTGCACTTCTTTCCCTGCTTTTTGAGCAGCTTTGGGTCTCAATCCAGAAATAAAAACAGGATACTATTATTGTTAATAATAATATTAATAATAATAATAACAACTATAAGGAGGAAGGGCAATGTCTGAAATTTGCAAAAGTCGCCCTCTTTTCCAATATTTGCCGGCCGCTTTTGCAAATATTATGATACAATAATAATAATAATAATAATAATTAATATTAATAATAATAACTATAAGGAGGAAGGGCAATGTCTGAAGTTTGCAAAAGTTGCCCTCTTTCCCAATATTTGCAAATAATATGATACTATTTACACCCCCCACTTTCCCTCTTCAAAGAGACCCTCTTTCCCAATATTTTGCAAATATTATACTATTTACACTCCCCCCCCACTTTTCCCTCTTCAAAGAGACCCAAAACCCAACCATATAATTCCACATAAACCCCAAAATATTTTTAAAAAGTCATTTATAAACTTTTTCCAAAACACAACCTTGTGGGTTTGCTGAGATGCATGAAAAGCCTGCCTTTCCACAACTTAAATAAATAAGTAAACAAATATATAACAATGATAATGACAGGGAGGGAGGGGGCGGCACTAGGACCCAGCCTCCCCCTCCCCAAAAAGGCTCTCTTTGAGACCCCCCCCAAAATTGGAAAGTTGGAGAAGGAAGGAAGGAAGGAAAGGAGGAAGAAGCAGACCCCCTCCAGGAAAGAAGGAAGGAAGTTCCCCCAGCCCGGACTCTTCAGCCAACTTCCAGCCGCTCCTCAGGGGGTTTGTGGAGGCGAATCCGAGCCAAATCGGGGGCTTATAGGTCCAAAAGTCGGAGGAAGAGGGGGTCCCAGTCCTTGCTGCTCTGCTCTGGATGCAGTTTCACTTCGGAGTCCCAGCCGAGGAAGGCGACGGAGAGGAGAGCTTTGCAGATTTCTTTGCAATTGCTTTGCAAACAGAAATCCCCCCCCCTTTTTTTTTTTTGCAACGAGGGAGGGGGGCTTGGGGAAATAATATTTATAATATTATTCTCTTCTTTTTTTCCTTCTTTTTTCCCTCTCCTTCCCTTCCCTTGGTCCGCTTTCTTTCTTTCTTTCTTTCTTTCGAGGCCCCCCTCCCTCCCCTTGCAATGCAGCAGCTGCCTCTTCCTTTGCAAATCACTGAACTGCTGAATGGAGCATTCTGGCTTTTATCAGGAGCCCGGGCAAGTCCCGCCTCCCAGTCCCAGGGAGGCTTCGCTCTAACCAATCGCGAGGCCGGACCAACGGGAGGATTTGCATATCCCTATAGCAACGCCCGGGTCCAGCTGTCAGTCTCCAGGCGAGAACAGCTGGAAGCCAAAAGGGGGAAAAGGCAGCCAGGGAAGAAGCCCGCCCTCTAGTGGCCACAGGAGGGAAATGCGGGTCCCCAAACACGTGTGAAAGGGATCTGACACGTGTCGAGTCCTCAGGGGAGGCTCTGGGGCAAGTTTGACGCCTGAGGCAAACTTTATTTTCCAACTGGGATCAAAAAGCACAATTGCACCCCAATGCATGTCGCAATCGCAAGTGTTGAACCTGACTCAGCACATAGAAGATGGCTTTGAAAGGCAGCAGATCACAGGAGCTGTCTTCATAGACCTGTCAGCACCTATGAGACTGTGAACCACCACCGCCTCCTCCTGA